AGTAAAAGCAGTCTTAAGTGCATCTCTTGAAAAATTCCATTTACAGAAACAGAAGCTCCTCCTCTCCAATATATCTTCCACAGTTCAGTATGCCATTTCGTTTGCATCCATTTGCTCATGAGAACTAGGTTCCTGTCCTGGAATTTCATGCTTTTGACAGAAGCTGTGCAAGAAGATAATGACGTTCTGAGTCAGCACAAAGTACACTGGCTAGCAACAACACATAGAAGATGAGAGGAGGACTTGTCTTTGGAAGTACCTTTTTATTTTAGTGTTAAGTGCATTATCAAATTCAAGGAACTTCTTCTGTGAAAGAGATCATTGTTAAACATCATATGCTTTTAGCCTGCATCTATGTCAGACTACACTACTGTGTTAATGCCAAGCCATAACTCAGTTAGGACTTTAAATATACCTTCATTTTATATACATGCTTTTTGTCCAGGGCAAGCTTAACATAACCCCTGCAGCAGAAGAGGTTGTAAAGCAGCTAAAGCAGCACTAATGTCAAAACATCCCCAAACACTTAACCTGAGCTCTGCCCTGCCAATGTGCCTCTTTCAGAGAGTTGAAGTGAAAAATCAGTTACAACTACAGTTATGTCACTTAAAGGCATAATTTCAGATGTGTCAGGGATAAGCACATTGGTTGCCTGTACTGATTCCAGAAGACTGATCACCTCTAAGCCTGGCTGACCTGGAAGCTAGAAAGTCTCAGAAGCAGAGCAAGGTAGGTCAATTCACATTAACAGCTACTGAAAGAAAAAAAAAAAAAAGGTTTTAACAGATGTGCTGTTTTAATGCACGTTTTGAAGTAGTTCGGAATAGCTGAAAGAATCAAATCGGAGCCATCAAGCCTGGCTCCATATTAAAGGCTGCAAAGGATTCAGTTCCAGAACACACAGTAAGGGGAGAAAATGCAGCACACAATCACCAAACAAAACCTACATATGCTTTTGCAGAATTGTTTCTGAGGAAGTCCTGAGGATAGACTTAGATCAAACACCTACTGCTAAAACAAAATATATCTTAATAATGTTTCAGATTCAAGGACTTGGTTATAACTGCACATTCAATTAAGTCTGAACATTTTAAGGAATTACTGCCCTTCATTTTTTGTCAGCAGTGATTTCTGCTAGTTGGCTGTTTAAATGGACACGAGTTTTCCAATCACTAGTTACTGAATCTCAGTTGACAGACAGCGAATACTTAGTTCTGCAGAGGTACCAATATTCAAATCCAACTGCAAGAACACATCCAAATGGTTTAAGACGTCCATGAACCCCTCCAAAAAGAGCATATTATAGGTAGAATACAGATACATCATTTTCAGCTACTATGAAACGGCACAAGACAAAGTGATTCACTGGGATCTCCTAATGAATTGCTCATTTTTAATCACAACTGTCCAGGCACTGGTATATATCAATAATAGAAAAATCTGAAAGTTAAAAATAGTGTACAGTTTAGCACAGAAGGCAACATTTGAATAGAAGCACATCATTTTAATTTGCTTTGAAGTTTAAAGCAATCCAAACAAAAAAGTTAACTATAAATACAGAGTAAATGCACATAGTTTACAGCCAACTACATGTATGCAAGAATAATAGCAAACCTCACACGAGCATTGAATTATTCTCAAACTGTCATTTGTGAGTGTTTAGCTATGACTCTGAGGGCATAATTATGTTCACATATGCAGGGTAGGCAGACTCTCTTCAATAGAAAAATTGAAAACTTACATAACTGAGTCTTAACAGACAGAAAGTTGAAAAAAGTAGTACATTTACCTAGGCACACTTCAGTGTTCAGCTTGTTTTCCAAATTTAAACAGTTTAAACAGGAAGCAACATTTATAAAGGCTCTCCAATCTTTTGTCTCTGGAAGCATTCTTTTAAAATGCTAGTCTGAGGAATGTCACAAATGTCATTATAAGAACAAAAACAGAATAGCAGAAACTGTCATTAGCAAACATCTCAATCAGAAAGGAAATATATGGAGTGCGTTATGTAAACAGGGAGCTAGATAGATGCAGTGTCAATATACAAGTAGACAGGTTGAGGTTTCAGTTACAATTAAAATAACCAAAAAACTCCATAAATCCCAAGTGTAAACCTACTTAAAACAACATAGGCTAGCAGATCAGAGATTCAGACAGAAACTGCAGATCTATCAAGTCAGTTTAAAGGCTGGGCTCAACCCTCTGTAATACACCACAACTCACCCGCTTTCATGCGGCTCTACAGGGACAGAATGGATATGAGAGGGGCTGAGAAATGTGACTGCATTCACTGAAATATATTTTTTGGTGTGTTTCCAAACTCGGGCCACCTTGCCATGTCCCCCCAATATGCCACAGGCACTCAGTGACAACCAGTGCACCCTAACACACTGAGCTAGCCAAACCCTGGCAGAGGAGTCCCTTGACCCTCTGATGAACGCATGCTCCAGTGCCATCTTTTGACTGGCTCAGGGAACTGCAGTCTCGCAGTGTTTCCCAAATCCAACTGGGTGCCGAGTCAAAATGAACTGCTCGCAATAACATTTATGTTTCATCTAGGCAAGGGATATATGTGGAAACTAATTAATTAGTAAGAGTTCTTCAGACATCCAAGACCTTTGCCTCTAGCACAGAAAAGTGTGACATAAATACATGACATTCAAATATAAACCAAGATGACCATCTCTGAGTTACAAGTAAGTTTAAATGCACTCCTTTCAGTTCTGTAGTTAAGGATATTATTGAACGGAGCATCTTCCTATTCCCTTTGAATTTTTATAATAAATATCAAGAAAACTACATAAATAATTTAAAGATCTTTGGGAAATATTTCAGAGGTAACTTTGTATATACTGGTGGTTTAAAAGTAACAAAAAAATCCCAAGAAACTCTGGGTTTGTTGTGTTATGTAAAGCAAGCCAAAAAGAAGATCACCCCTGAAGTTTAAAACATTGCTTAAAAGACCCATTAAAAAGGTGGAATAAGCTGATTGTCTATTTTTAGTTGTTGTCTCCCATATTCAACTGTCCTTGTTAACATCTTCTACTTAGCAACTCCAGGGGGTCTGTTCTCACCCACACAAGGCACAGACACATACCCAGTGAATTAATGGGAGACAAACATGTAACCAAGGGGGAATGTGTCCAATGAACAGAGGAGAGTAACTCTCATGAAGCCTAGGCTAATCCAAGTGTTAACTGTATTCATGAACTCCAAAGCTGAATATTGTCTTTGCTAATTTAAATTTTGGCTGTGAATGAGTAATCTGGATAGCCTGAAGAGCAATCTGCTTCGTATAGAACAAAAATTACAGTAAGTAGCTGTTCCTGCACTTCGCTGAGTTACCTGAATAATAGCATCACAGCAAGATCTTAAGTCAGTCATGAATACTCTATATTTTTCCTAGAAAGATCACTAGAAAAAGCCCACTACAACATACATTTAAGCACTCTCCTCGCTCCTTTAAAACAATCAAGTTCACCTTTGTGGGCACATCACAGGTCATGCTATCTTGTCTTTAAAAAGGTAAGGTAACATTTTCCAAGGAGAAGGAAGTCAATACAACCAAGCCACACCGCAAGGTCGCTGTACATCCTATAGAGGGCTTTTAGAAGTATCAGCCATTAGTACAGCTAATTACATGAAGTACTCCAATACTTGGACACTGTGTGGAAAACATGACAAGGATCAAAATAAAGGAAAGCAAATGAGAAGCCCAGACTGATTGTTCTGTAAGCTTCAAGCTTTTGCCTACAGCCTACAGAACTACTGCAACAGAGATGGTATGGATCTACAGCATAAGATGTTTTAACCTGCACAGCTCACATGGAAATTAAACCACGTGCTTTGTTTAAAACCAAACTGCATGTTTTGAACACATTTTGATTACATATTACAAGAGGAAGAAAAGTCACAAGCCATAAGAAGGCCACAAAGTGCATAAGGAGTCATTCATAAAATAAAGCCATTGCACACAATGCACAGTTTAAGTGAAGTACCACACTGGAAGAGTTGATAGCACAGTTCTCTCTGCACCAGTGTAGCAGCATTTATATGTAGAAAGCTATTGCCCCAAACTTATAAAGATAATCTTCCTCATAAGGATCATGGATGCAGACTGAGAAGTACTCAAGGTGCAGATAAAAGATTTCTGTTTGGAAAGCTGTACGAGTTCTGGTAACATTAAACTTCTGATTTTGACACTCCAACTGTATGGTTTTGGAAAACCCTGTAAATTATGGCAGACTAAACTAGCTAAGCCTCGGTGCTGAATGCAACACATCACTTTGCAATTGCCTTATAGAACAAAAACCCCCACAATGCCTGAATATACAGACAATTTGGAGGACAAGGTTATACTTGTCAGCTGCAGTCCTGTACATAGGCTCAAGCTGGAAGAAGTAATACAGCAATTATCAAGGGGAATGCTTACAATAAAGTCTCAATTACAATTTTCTCTATCATTCTTCACAGAGGCTGTCTTCATTAAAAAAAAAAAAAAAAATCTATCGCAACTTCCACAGCTTTCTGCTTTCTGGTCACCTTAGCCATGGTGATATGTGTTCTCCCCCTGTACTCCCATACAGATACTGGTAATCCAAGTCAGGCTTTGCCAGACATTCTAGGGTAATACAGCTTGTTCTCAGGTAGCACAAAATTATTTGACTGAATCCCGTCTTCACAAATGGTAGGCTAGACTAGCTGAGATATCTCATCACATTAAGAAACCTTTAAAAGGCTATGAAGTAGCATTCAACAAGTTCTTCCTTAGCTGTATGAGTGACCTAACAGGTTGGCAAGGAAAACTGATGATACAGGAAAGTGTGTGTTAGGTCTCTCTTGCTTAAGGAAGGGAAGTTCCAGAGAAGAAAGAGGATGATGCAGCAGAACTAGAAATCCACATACACCAATACTGAGAGATTGAGAACCTGAAGGGTTCAACAATCAGACCCTCTCTCACTAACCTACAACACTGCTCAAACTTCAAAGAAAAAACAAGTATCACCTTTTAAGTGAAGAAATAACTCTGTTCTGGGTCCCTGCGCCATATTTTGTCTTGAGGTAGCAACATGGAAAACTTTACACACTGATTACTACCTCAGTCTCTACAAATCTTCAGAGCAAGTGAATGGAAGTTTCAGGTATGGAAAGGTATGAAAGTACTGTCTTCCCCATTCTTCCAACAGGTTACTGTGCAGTAAAACAGAACAAAAAGGACGTAGTTGAGAGCAATCACTAGAAGTGAATAAGGCTGCCCAAGAATGTATTTTATGCCCCCTCCCTCACACATCAGGTCTCTGAAGATGACCGAATGGCCTTGTTTAGATTAACAGATGAAAAGAAAGTAATGATTTTGAATTACAAGATGTATAAATGCATTCCCTAAGGGGCAGTTGCCATTTGTCACATTGCCAAGAGACCATACAATAAGGCAGCAAAATTATTCATAGATGCCCACAATCAACCTTCTGTTTGTCCATAGCTGCATGTTCCTGATACAACCTTCCTTTTGCCCACCACATTGGCACTGACATTCAGTGGTCCACTCCAGTCTTTCAATCTTCCACCTTCTTCTAGGAAGCCTTGTCACGCTGCTATCCATCAAGCAAGTAGACTACCACTTCATAGGTTGACATCATGATAGCTGTGTTTGGAATCTGTCTGATCAGATGTGTAGTTAAACCTCGGTAGAGGGATCCATATCCTTCTTCTCGCACAAGCAAAGACAATGTCTGGAAGAAAGATCTGTATTTTGTTCCTTCTTCTCTTAGTCTTGTTCGTACAACTTCTGCACAAAGAGAACCACATGTGGTTATGTTCACCACTTTTCATTATCGTTCCCAGAAACCAATTAGTGATTTTTACATTACAACCTTTCTCTGTCCCCAAGTTTTCAGTCTCAGAAGAACCCTCTAAAAAAAGGAGGAAGTCAAACAGAAGCAAACCAAGCATGTGTAAGAGGAAAACAAGTTAAATTTTTGGCAGTATTGGATATTTAAGCAAGGAAAGTTCATTCGCTTAGTTAAAATCCAGAAAAGGACTGTTGTTTGGGCTTATATTTTGGCTTGAAAGTTGCCACTAATGAGGTACTCAACCCATTAACACACTTAAGTGTATACACAACTACTTTGCAGGAAAATTACATGCAACAAAACCAAACTAGACAGCCTGTTTTCCTAGAAGGGGGACAAGAACTTGCTGGCAAGTTATGTGAAATTGCTGAGTATATGGGAGAGATTCCAAGTGAAAGAGGATCTTCTCCTTAAGTACTTTGGGTTATACCCTGGAAAATCCTTTGGAAACATAAACATTGCCTAAGAGGTGGCCATGCTAGATATCCACTTAAAAATACTTCCAATTTCTGAATACCGTACTCATGTTGACTCGATGTGAAAAGCTCTAGACAAAGAAATAGCTCTTGAGCAAGTGAGCAAAAGTCTGCCACAAATATCACTAAAGACTCCCTTTGATCACTTTGGCTCAGGCTCTCAGCTGTACCTGCCCCACTTACCATGGGGATATGCTATTGATGTTGCACAAGTTTTAGAAGTGGCAGCAGCCATCATCATTCCAACAAAGTCTGAAGCTTCTTTTGCTGATTCATCCTCATTGTCCATGGCAGAAGCAGTCTTATACTCCAGTAGTTTTCTCTTAATACTCTCATAAATAACAAAATGAATAACAGTCTCAGATATGCCTGCGTAGGATGCTGACATTCCTCTGTAAAAGCCTTTAACACCGTCTGATCGATAAACTTTTCGGACACATTCAAAAGCACTCATTCGCTTTTCTCCACGATTCCTAAAAAGGAGAAAGCAAGACAGACATCAAACTGGTGCAACTTGAGACCGGAAAATAATTAAACAGCTTTGCTTGAGTGACAACCGGACTTGGAAACATCTCACACTGAGGCTGACGGGGTCCAAGTCAGATACATTTAAGAACACAAAGATCCTGGAGTGACAGCCTCAAAGGCCTTCAGCACTAAACACAGGTAAAGCACTACACTGAATCCAAGCCAAATTTCGTTTCATATGGTGACTCAAGTATCACGTAGACACATTGAACAGCTCTAGGCCTCCAAGTCTTATGGAATAAAGGACTACACTGCTTGAAAACAGATTCCCAAATGAACTGTAAATGTCAGTGACTCATAAAAAAATGACCATTTTCTTCTGCACGAGAACGGATTTCCCCTAAACTTTGCTTCAAACAGCTCCATAGCATGGCAATTAACCATCCTGTCCCAGAAGCGCAGGTCTTGCAGTACAGCCTTTAGGGTTATATGGCTATAAGGCATATGAACATGGAAGCAGTGGCTAAGAGTTCAAACAGCAGATCTCACAGCAATCAAACAACTAGGATACGCAAAGGGAGCATATCAACCGATACAACACAGGCAGGTTTTTTTTTTGATTCAACTAAGCCACTGCTGATGTCAAGGAAAATGCTCATTAGACATGACTGTATCTACCACTATTTTTTAGTTCCCATTCCCATTTTTAGCTTGCTTACTGATTTGTGCGTATTGAAATACTTAGTATGTAGCTATGCAAAACTGTTACAAAACTATATAAAAGATGCTTCATTGCAGCAGCAAGTGCAGGCACTTGCAGCATACAGATTCTGCCAGCAGAGGTCTCCTGAGTGAGCAAGTCACACAGAATAAAACAGCAAATAACCTTGTAAGAAGTTATGGTAACTCATATGGATACTGTCAAAGCAAGACAGAGAGGAGCAGTAGCTATTATGCAAGTAGAATGAGGCATCACTAGATTGCAGAATTTAAGTCTTTATGGTTTGAACCTGCAATGTCAAGACAGCAAGGAAAAAGGTACCAAGCACAATTAAGAGAAAGAGAGGGCACACAGGGCTGTGAATCAGGTCTTGAGTAAGCTAGGTGGCAGATGCTGCAATGGACTGAGGGGCTAGTGCTCATCTGCTGACAGGGAAAAGAGGAGAGTCAAAGAACTACTGGTGAGAAGAGCTGCTGGACCTACAGCTGCCAGCTCCAGGGGCACCCCAGTTCCCACATCCCTGGTACCTGGTCGGGTGCACTGACACAGACTGCTGTAAGAATTTGTTCTTCTAATGTGCAAGATGCACAACAGTGCCATGAAGGCCACAGCAATTTCACTTCAGAAACAAAACACATGCCTTCGCCCGCTCTTACTGGAATCAGGGGGATTTCTGAGAACTTCAACAGTAACAAGATCAGGCCAGGATAAACCCACAGGCCAAGTGCTTTTATGCCTTTAATAAAAACTGAATTAGAAGAGCTGAGAATGCAATATATAATTGCAGTGTCCTACACAAAGATAGAAGGTACTTCATTCTTCAGGTCTCCCACAGGAACAATGTGCTTGATATAATGTACAAAAATAATGTGCACAACCAATCGCTAATTTTCACTAATTTCCTTAAAGCCCTGTAGTTTAAGCAATTTAACTGATTCATCAGTAAAAAACAAGCAGAAGCACAAGATGCCATCAGGTTGCACATAGCAACAAAACCCCCTTGGAATTAGTCATGGAATTATCACTGCAATCATATTGTAGCGTAACAAAATATCTCACGGTAAAACTAGTTCTGGGATATATTTACTATGGTCACCTTGCAGTTGACAATATACCTGCTAAGAGGAAAAATGCTAATATGCCCTTAATACAGAAAGTCAAACAGATCTCCAAAATAGGAGTATGTGGCTCATTAATATATTTAGGATGGCTGAAGTTTTATACTGCATGCTAATTTTTCAGCCAGAAAGTCTTTAAGATGAACAAGACAGTTGCATTGAGACACTTGCATCATATCAGTCTCCTCCTATAGTTAAATATATGAGAATATAGTCTTTATTCCTCCTTATTTGCATTAAATTATACCTCATTACAAGATTTGTAATAATAAACAGTTTCTGTAATCAATTCTGTAATGGAAAATTTAAGTATATGGTTGGTAGAACGTTATTTAAATGAGACTGTAACCTTGTCATCCATTCCAAATTTGCTGGCCGGTCTACTACAGTGCCTCAAGCATGCCTCAGAAGACAGATTAGAACAGAGAAAAATGATAGTGTAACTTGTAGATAGATCAGCATTAACTGTCTAGAAATGTTGGATATTTAAAGAATCATTCCATTTTGGGATGCAGAACAGATTCACAACATTTAAGTGAAGTCTTATCACAGCAGTGAGATTGCCCATCGTCACTAGCAGATTCTCTTATTTAGATTCTTACCTTGCATCAAGCTGTAACCGTGTCTTTACTAGCCAAATGGGATTAGTTGTTGTGATCGCAGTAAAACCTAAAATATTTAAAAAGAAAAGTTAGATGTGATAATATCATAAAAGCAGCTGCATCTAAGTTCGAAATGCACACAGTAAGGTACAGTGTATGCAAAAACTCGGACTATACTGATTTTTTAGAAAGTACCCATTGAAGCCCTTTACTGATATTTTATGAATCCATACAGCCAATAAACATTTAGCTTACTTTTTAATTTCACATTAATATTGAGTAAGTTTGATTCTTAGCAAGAGATGCCCCATATAAAATAAACCCAATTGTGTACCTTTCTCTGCCTATCTAATCGTACCAACCCTGTTTTGACACCACACCACAGAACAGCAAAGCTAGCTAAACTAATATTAGCCAATTTGGAAAACATGTCAATAAGAATGCAGTGTAGATACAGCTATCATAATTTGAGATGGTATAAAACATTGTGTCAATTAAATTTGCTACCTGAAATACAATCCGAGTTTAAAAGCATGCAGACTGAATAAATAGTACTTTTGGTGCAGTTAAAAGGCATATATTACTGTAAGTTAAAAGACCTTTTAATACTAAACTATAAAGAACAGTTCAATTTGAGTGCTAATGTTTTATTTAGTATTTAAAGCAGAGATTGTCGGTTGGCCTAGGAATACTTTTACAAGGATATGCATGTTTAAATTGTTAAAGTAAATAGTATGACGTCTAACTATCCAGACAGACAGCAACTATTCAGGCTTGCGTAAGGGCTCAGGGTTAAAGCTTTGATTTTCAGTCCACTAAAGAAAAAAGAAAAGGAAGAAAAAGAGAAAAGGAAACAAATTAAAAAAAAAAAAAAGAAAAAAGAAAAGAAGTAAGAATCACTCTTACTTCTGCACAACTGTGGAGAGAAAAAGAGCAGAGTGAAGGCAGCTCTGAAAAAAAAAAAAAAAACATCTAGAGTTGTAATACCACAAGTGCACCATTAATGAGGTGACATGTCTGCAGGAGAGAAAAGGAAAAGGGAAGAGCTGGAACATGGCCAGGCAAGAGATGATAAATTTAGACACTTGCTTTCTAAGTGACACACATCACTTGTATATAACTACAAAGACATGCTGCCCTCCTGCAAGGGAATGGACTGGGGTTGTGGGAAAGCAACAGTTATCCTGTTCAGTGCACATCTGGTGCACAATACTTATACAACAAACAGGCTATCAATAGGCTTGTTTATGGAGATCATTAACAGCTTACATAAATATATTTAGCAGAACTGCTTGCATACATGTTACTTCTGTTCAATCACAATCTAGGTTTACATTGCACACAAATGACTGCAATACTCAAGAGAAATGCCAGGGGATCTTAACTGTTTTAAGGTTTGTTTTACCTCCCACCCCAAATCTTAAACAGGTCATTAGGATTTTCAGTTACAGTTCTAAAGACACATTATGAAGTTTAGCAGCTACTAAGATTTAGCTATATATCCGTGCCAAAACAGCAAAACCAAATTAGGGACTTCAGCTTAATCTTTTGATTAAATAGATTTTTAAACTGACTCAAACCTTTTAACTAAACAATATCCTGTGAATCCACTGGTTAGATAATAAAGGTTTGGATTTGGCTTCTCCCCGCAATAACACATTGCGCTTTTCCTTTTCCTATGTCTAGGTACCTGTATGTCCTTCATATGATGGAGTGAAATCCTAACAAGCCAAAGAGGGTTTTTATCTGCATTTCATGTAGGCAAACAATTTTGTAAAAACTCAAAGCATCAGGGAACTACTTTGCCATAACAAGGTGTGGGATGTTTTTAAAACACATTACACCTGCAAAAAAGGTTCTGCAGTTCAACTAGCCAGAGGCCTTCTGACCTGTCACTTAATGCCATAGAAACCCCACTGATTCCAGCAGCATTTGACTCTGGGTTGAATTACATGGAAAGGAAATTTTGTTCTTGCCTTTTTTTTTTCTTTACGCTAGCATTAAGAAAGATTTAATTTTCTTTTACTTCAAATCAGAATCTTTCCATACCTATAGTGCAGTCAAGGGCACTAGCAATGCACAGGACTGCAACAAAGGCTTTTCAATAAGGCGGGGAAAATAACTTCCCCTATCAACACATTTTCCAGCAAAGATTTTCCAGCAAAGACTTCTCTCAAACATAACCCCAACAAAATTAGCTCGAGTCCCTCCTAGTTCTTGACTGGGAGTGAACAAGACACAAAGAGTCTTCTGCATTCTTATTTAAGTTACATGCTTTGTAATTTTGTTACTGCTGGACCGTATGTTACAGCATTATCTGCTCAGCCCTTTCTCCTTCCTATTCCGACCCCAAAAAACTGTCTCTGTAGGTCCTAAATCTGTAACAGGAGACACATAAATGAGATCAGAGGCAGTGTCTGAGTGGCAGTAGTGACTACATTTGCCCACAGCAGCAGCCTGATACTTCTAGGCAGGCTGGGAAGAGTACATGGGAAATTGCATTCTGTGCCAACTATGCTTCACTGGCAACTTTTTCTGCCCAAACTTGTACTCCCCAGGTTGCTCTAAACGTTACATAAGCATAGCACCCCAATAGTAGGATCAGACACTTAGCAGCATAGCCATTTTTTTTCCTAGGGTGGTCGTAAGCCTAAATAGCATGACAGTTCGAACCAAAGCTTTCAAATCAAAGAGCCTTCAATAATTCAGGTTTCAGGATGGAAGAACTACAGCTCAATTCTTACAGGTAATGTAGTAAATACAGTTAGTGGAAGGAAAATAAATTAAGAGTTGAGTGATACGACACCAAGGAAAGCACTCCAGAACATGAAACATCCAGAATTTGGGGATCTTTGATAAGATAAGCTTTTCTTTTTAAATACAGATAATCCGTAGCAAAAGTCCTGGTTAAAAAAATAAAGGTGAAGGGCTTTCAACAACTACTATGAAGCTATCAATTGTTTCCTTTTTCTTTTCTCCTTTTTCTTTTTAGAAGTCTTCATGAACTTTATAGTGCTTTACAATGCTAATCAGTGTGTTGTATCCTCAAGAAAGATTAAGATTCCAGATTCATTAGAAGCGTAGACCAATTTGGCAATACCAGAAACTCCTGTACTTTCCTATGTTTTATTTTGTTCTGTGAAATTGTATCCCAGTTTCAGACAGAATTATGTTAATCTACTTTTTGAGCTATATCAGCTACTGACAGGTAAGATCCCAGGTATTCCTATTATGCATCACATTTCAAAGGTTAGGGTTTTTTTTTTTTGTTAAATCTATAAGCCAATGTAATTGATACAGACGCATGTGAATATGAAATGCTGAATTAAAATCCAAAGTAGTAAAACAAAAACAAACCGAAAGAGAAAACAAAGAGACAGAAAGGAGTTTTTATACATATTAAAAAAAGAAAAAGAAAAGAGATCTTTGAAATAATGTGACAACACAGAATATCGGCTGCAGCACTTTAAAGGCAGCTCTGGGACACTGAAAATAAAACAAAAGGCATTGTTTAACCCCATTAGGGACATTCAATTAGCCAGAGCTAAGTAAAGTTGCAGCTATCAGTGAAAGGTATTTTCCACCTTTCCCTGAGCTGCACAGAAAAAAATAACTCTTAGCAGAGTTAAGAAGTGATGTCTTTGCACAATGCACATCATTTGAGTTCAAGATAAAGAAAGTGAATTCCCCTTTATTGTCTTTATTTAATAGATATTACAAACCCAATGTGTGGTTCTTACACTAGAGGCTGCAAGAGACGCTCAGTTCAGTACTCACGAGGTTTAAGTTAGTCCATATTTCTGCAGGAAGTGACCTGCGGATGGGGAGCATGAGATGACACGATCTCACTCTTTTCACGGGAGAAATGTACAGTAAATGCCTAAAATAGACACAGGCTTTTCTGTATCATAACAACAAGCAGTGACCTCATCAGACACATGTGTACAAATCGAATCCCATTGGAAGGATTTGTGAATTAGTTATTGTGAGATCTAACTGTTTTCAGGTAAAAGTTTAGGAAAAAAAGAAAGAAAAATAATCAGAACAGGCCACAGATATTAAAATAGTTGTGTAAAATGCACTGAGTACTGAAATTTCTGCTCATTTGCAGCAGTTCCATTTTTTATCTCCAAATACTTACCTATATACCAAATTTACAAGTGAACCCTCCTTCTTCCCCACTCCTAAATATAATTCAAAAAAAGCTAGCCTTGTCTTAGCACTGCAAAAGATAGATGCCTTATGAAATCAAACTTTCTAATAACAGTAATCAGCTAAATATGCATTTTATTTGGTATTAATTAACTGTGTACATACTACTTAAAACTTACAGAAGTATGGTATCCCTATAAGTAATAAAATGGTCCCAAATTTTAATTTGTAATAAAAATAATAAATCTACACTTGGGTTGGTTTGCCAGTAGAGCTCCACAAAGAACAGCAATAGTATAAAAGGCAAAGTAGCTTTGCAGCAGATTTGCAACCATGTTGTCTGAATGAGGCTATGAATCATTAAAAAGGCAAATCAGAAAGCCATACAGGAATCAAGTATTTCATCCAGTTCTCTACAGAAGTTTTTATTCTCCATTGTGGCAAAAGAGACTAAGTGCAATGAAAAGGCAGAGATTATAACGAATCCGAGAATTTTGCCTAACTGTGAAATGTACAGAGATAAACTGTCATCACACAAGCAAACATTCTCATTCTTGTAGTATGCTTCAGATATATTTACTGTCCAAGTTTACAAAACGGTAACTATGTGATATGTTGAGTAATAAGTAAAAAAGATTGACAAGTATTTGTTCATGTCAATACACAGATACTTTAAGTATGAAGGTGACATGAATTATATGCTGGAAGCTAGCACACAGCAAGAGAAAAACATTAATATCTAATTGCATAAGGCATCAGTTACTAATATGAAGCATAATTCATCTTCCTTGGGATAAAACTTACTAAAAGAATCTTAATAAATCAAAAAATAGGTTTTATCTTGAGAAAGAAGAATCAGGCCTGAAATCAAACAAAAATGCTTAAAACACTATACCTCAGATTCTCACTCACAAAAAATGCCATGTGCATAAAGTAACCCTTACTTAACAATGACATCAGTCTATCCTGAGATACTTATGTATTAACATATGATACAAATAAACAATACTTAAAGTTGACTGAAGTTCATACACACTAAGTTATAGTTCATTTTAAAATTCCATTTTTGCATCATTATTGTATTTTGCAACCTACAGGAAAAGCGTCGTAAGCGCAAACACCACCTCATGTTCATTAGGTATTAGAAGCCTTTATGTAACAGAGAGGCCATATCTAAACAAACAAACAAAAAAATCCCTCATTTAAGACAGAGTTACTCAATTCCTTACTGAAACCATTGGCAGCTGCAAAAGAAAAAACCAACACCGATTATTTTTTACTAATTATTAGAAGTGTTTATCCACTCTTGCCACTCTCGAAATCTTAAGTTCCAAAGCAAATATTATGGTGATCTTCTATGTTAACCTGTTTAAGTCAACCAATTAAGAGCTCACATTTGATCGTGTCCCTGTTATTTTGCCATTTCCTTAAGTTGATTTGCATCAGATAGCAATACAAACCTTGTTAATAGCTGGTTTAAGTGCATTTTCTGAAATATATTAGAATTACAAAAACATCGTTAGCATGTTCCCAAGAAAGCACTGTTAATTTTAGCTACAGTCCTTCACACATAAATCAGAATACCACCAGTAACGAGTATGAAGAAATTGTTTGTCAAAGAACCTTCTTTTAAAGGTCTTTTGGAGAACATCTGCAGTATACAGTGCCAAGCCATTTCAGGTGAAAGAAAATTGTGACCTGTAGTGTGAACCTGCACTGGGCATTCAGTTTCCCAGCTATATGGTTTAAGAAAACAACTGCAGAACTAGGCAAGTGTGAGAAAGATAACAGCCACAGGAGTTTTCAGTATTAAAGCTGGTATACAAACATAAAGTCAAGCAGCAATTAAGGCTCATATACATTTACCCCAGTCTCCTCCAGTCATAAGTACAAATGCATTAACACTAACCTTCTGGAAGGGAAGCAAGTCAACAAACAGATACAGAAGTCCCTGACAAACTACAGTCTGTGTCTGCAAGCATCTGGGAAAAGTCACTACAGCACATCTCCATAAATGTTCTTTTCATTATGGAATGAGGGCAGTTACTTCCAAAGGAACACTCTGAATCTTTGTCTGCAGCATTGCATGAGCTACACAAGTTGTCTTCAATTGAGGATAGTCTTGTTTCTTTTACCTGTACCTCCCCACACCCTGAATTTGAAGACAAGTTTTATCCCCTTGACAAAGAGCTGAAGACAAGAAAAATTAAGTAATTAGGGTTTCTGGAGCAATTAACTGCTTAGGATAAACTTTTCATGAAATCCCCTTCCATCTCATTTCCCATGCTGTTCACCTACAAACAAAACACATTTCCAGGTGATAAAAAAAATACTGTGTCATCTGAGCACCTTATTTTGCCCATTTAAGACAAAAATGGCACTCCTTATATCGCTAAGCCAGATTATTAAAAACTGCCATGACATTTCTCATGTGCTAGACATGAGCATGAGTGTGTTAAAGTACAAACCTAATGTCACTTAAATTTTCTGCTATATTGCAATTCCTTTGTATCAGATTATTAGCAAGTATTAAATAGAAAACGAATTCTACTCCTTACTCTGACATCACCTTTGACAGTCCATTTCAGATTGCTAGTACTCATGTTATATACACCGGTTGTAAAATTTGACAGGAATTAGAAATTTCAACAGGCTACCATCAAATTGTCAGAATTAATCTGTGAAGTGTCTATGGTCTATATAGGAAAAAAAAAAAACAAACACACACTTCGGAAAATTTGGTTTTGTGTGGGAAAGACACAGGCAACAACAGGCACAGTGTTGCCAGCCCAAGCTTTGATTTCCCCAGCACAAGTCCATGACCATAACTCAGCTCAGTTGCCTTTAACTCCCCTTGTTAATGATCCCAAAGCACAGAACATACAAATCAAGCAACATATATTGGTAGCTGCTAAAATATACCAAAGTTACACTTGCAGATATAAAGTCAGTATTAATTTCCAGAGATGAAAATATATGAAAACTACGTAAGTCTGCTCTTCCATGTCACTTTTAGTGGTAGAGCAAACTTCACACAGCCTGGTATTTGAGAAAAAGAGGAGGGGGTATTACATCTAATTTATACAAAAATCTGTAGGCATATTTCAAACAGACAAAAATAAGTCAGATATACAAAGCTGTGACAGAAAAAGTGATGATTAAAAAAACAGATTAAGAAGCATTAAGCCAGAGTTCAGTGCAAACAATCTTGTTTATAGCTTGCAGGGCAAAAAGTTACTGTTTTGAAAGTTCTCATTTTACATTTCACAAATTTACAATCAAGAAAGCAGACATGCACGTTTTCCTACAAAAGACTATTCACAGACACACGGTTAAAGATCTTCATGAACACTAAGTGCAATGTTTCATACACATATTCTCCCGATAGCTTGTTTAATGAGGTCAAAGAAGGTAACCGCCACAAAAAGAGACCACTCAATCACTGAACATTTTCTGTTCTGTTTTGTTTTTTCCACCTCTCATTTGTAGATAGGACTCTAGAATGAAGCTAAAAAGTTACAGATCCTTACCTGCCACACCAGCTGAAATCATGTGTACCTGGGTAGAATCTGGATTGAAAATATTGTTCAACTTTTCCTTGCAGTTTGAGTAAGCAGCAAAATATATCGCTCTAAAATTAGAACAAAATCTGAGTTATGTTTTGTATGTTGATACTCTTACGAGTGGTGCCACTAACTTCACTAACTGAAGATGATCTCGGTTCAAGCCTTATTTCCTAAGTAGAAAACGACTCAAGGAATAATGCTTGCAAAGTAGTGGGACTATTCTAAGGATGGAGGGTACAGAGTACACTTTACAACTTTTCCTTGTACAATAGTTCTGATTAACAGTTAGTGGGGGGAAGGATATATAATTAGAAACACGACAGTGATTTTTGTGACACTAGGAATTTTAGCCAGGGAAGCCCAACACTGCTGAACTAAGTGGAATTACACAATTCCGTATGTCTTTAACGGATCAAATTTATACTAATGGGCATAAACTCAGCTCAATAGCATTACAATTTCAAGAGAACTAGCAAGTATTTGCCTTTTTTAAAACCAACCAGCACACTTAATATTTAGAATATTGTTCTAGCATATAAAATGTAAATATTCATACATTGTAACTTGTAGTTATAAGTATTTCTATTTTAAATGCTAGAACAGCTGTTTCTTTAGTCCTATATTGAAATAGAAATAGTTTTTTGTCTCTGAATACACTACAAAAAATATTTGTAAACTTGTACTACATTCAAGTCTGCGAGCTGGTATCAAGACAAAGCTAGACAAAAGTCAGCAGGTCAATGTCATTAGGAAAAAGACATGTTTTCATTCATTAAAGCTAAAAGCCTTATTTCAAGCACATCTAAAACTCACATTTAAGGTTCTACTACTTTTTTTTTTTTAAACTTACAGACAACCCTCTACAAGAGAAAAAAATGAACATGCACATTTTCATGAACAGAACATTAACCTCATTAGCTGTGCAAACATGTTTTTCTTTATTATAACGAAAGATAAAGTGCTTGCTTCATGGGTGTAATGTCTAAAATGGAATCTGAACTCAGTTAAGTATACTGGATGTATTATGAAACATGCTTCTCTACAGCTTATTTAAACAAAGCGCTGCTGTTAAACCCACTTAGCTAACGCTTAATTGAAATGAAGTACTGGATGAAGACAGAGTCAGCCAGGGGGGAATGAGGATGTGCTTATTTATATGACTTCATACATTATACCAAGTTGACATTTTTAGTATGAACATGGGGCAGGAGGGGGAAAACAACCTAAGTATTTCACCTGGGGGAAAAAGGGAAGGGAATTAGAAAATATAACATAAAATTTACTGAAAAGAAATATAGTTTTTTACAATTGAGAATATTTTTCACTGAAGATAGTTGCTTATAAAATGGAATTCATTGCTGTATAAAAATTAGTGTTAAAAAGATAAAAATGAAGGTTGAACATTCAGATCCAGATCAGACTCAAACAAAAGTACAGGCTTTTCAGTTTAAGTTAAGCTGCTCCAACAAGCAATGCTAAGTTAGTGATCAGACAATCTCAAGTATTCCTAATTCTTTAAAAATTCTGCTAAAATAAAGGTACTTCAATTCCTGAACTATGTTTTTCTCTTATTTATGCAGAGGATATACAGAGCAACACCTCATCTGTCAGATTTAAGTAGAAAAGAAATCAATGCTGAATGAAAAGTCCAGTTCAATAAAATTTTTCAGAAGCATCCAAAGACCTGAAACCAGAAAAGTTAAGATACCCCCCAAATGGGTAGGGAAGTCCCATCTCCTGCAGGAGACAGGAATAATAATATCTTCTGTTCAGACAAAACACACCAACAAAAAAACCACACAAAACGAAAGCAGGGCACTAAGTTAAGGGAAAAATAAAAACTTTGTGGAACATATTCCCTCTGCATAAAGACACTTCTCAAACAGAATAAAAGCGAATAAAAATGGGCCGAAAGATGATTATAGCCTCCTCAAGAATTAAGTAGTTATATTACTTTTACATGGCTTTGTTTCCGTACTCTTCCTTAGGCATGCTCCTATTTTTGGGCTGAACTTTGGCTAACACTTATATGTGAGGATCAATTCAAACTCAGGCATAACCTGCACCTCACTCCGCCAACACCAGCCAAGCAGCTGAAGCATTTGTGCCAATGTGGAGCAACTGACAGCAGCAATACCACTGCCAATTAGATCAGATTTACATCCTCATCCGCTGCACACTCTGACACTGCCCCAGTACCCTTTGGGGTCCAGCCCACTGCTGGATCTGCTTCCTCTGGGACAGCTCTGTGTGCGTGTCATCCTATCTAGTCTGGCCCTTTTTGAAGTTTCAAAACAGGCTTCCTGCTGCAGGGGGACAGTAGTCTGTGCTTCATCAGAATTCAGGAAGAAAGACCCAGTGTTTTAAGGCTACGGTCATACAATTGCTTCCTGAAGATGATGGATTAACTGAAAGCTAAATCTACCTTTGTATTTTCAAAGGTACAAACTTGTTTACATGTGCGACTCTTTAAGCATTTTCCTTCTTAACTGGACAAAACTCTGCATAAGGGATAGTATACAACAGTAAATACTATTATAGCAGCATATAGAATAGTAAATGCTAAGCAAGTTGCTGCAGGGATGTGGGACTACAGCTGCAGAGTGGCTCAATTTCTCAGACAACAAAATGACCCCAGGAAACAAAGGTTATTTGCTATTAAGTATTTACAGCTTGAGATGCAAAAACTCACTTCAAATAAATCTTAAGTCCCGCGAATAACGTACAGCAATCAAAATTTCAAATTTATTTAATTTACCTGGAAGGAGCAACGCCTACTAAATTAGGACCCAGCCCTCTAAACAGAGAACGAGGACCTTCCTTTTGCAGGATCATCCTAGAAAACAAAAAAAGTAACAGTATCATAACATTCACATCAAAATCAAGGAACGCACTCACCACCACGACTACACCATTTTAAGCTTTACTTTTTGTAAAACTTTCATAATAACTGACAATGCAGGGCTGACCACAAAAGATTACTCACTTCCTAGAATCAGCGTCAAATAAAATTCCATTATTGCTTGACATGTCCTAGAAATCCAGGGACTAGATGCAGAAGTAGAGCTTTATGATGTCAATACAGACTTACCTCAAAGATAGGAACACACACATACACAGAGTTATCTGTTATTCAGAAGTTAAAGAAAGTGTCCCTTTATCAGGGAGAAAATCTAAGCATGGAAATGTTCACACTCCTGTAGGTTCTAGATTGTTCAAGAGCCAAAAATATTTTATTTTGTTCTACATTCATCACCCTTTAGCTCCCAATGTTTATTGGGCGGGAGAGACAGGGAGTGAAGGGCCAGAGAGGAGGGGACAGGAGAAAAACTTATCAAGGTTCAGTCACAGCAAGTCATATGCCTTCTGAGAACAGCTCGCAAGATGTTAGCTCTACTGCTTATCATGTCCAGCCATGCACATCTTTTACAATCTCTTATCTACTCTTCTCAAAGACAGAAACCTCAACATGGCTACGCATGTGCTACCCTGGTTTGATTCTGTAAGACTCCTAGCAGTACGCTAGGTTAAGTGCCAGAAGTTAGAGGAAAAGAGGACTTTTATCTGAAAGTCCTGCCTTCCCCATCCCTATACATGATTTCAATCCACTAAGCATTCAGTTAGGAACCCATTCTTAGCTTTATTCTTTCTGTGAGATACTGTGATTATTCTGACTACAGTAAAAGGAAATGGAAACCTTGCATGTAAGAAGTGGCCCTTCCTTGAGGCTAGCAGGGATTCCCTCCTACCGGTTCTGACACGCCGCCCCTGT